AATCTCTACTAAAACTACAAAAATTAGCTGGGCGTGGTGGCGCACGCCTGTAATCGCAGCTATTCAGGAGGCTGAGGCAGGAGAATCGCTTGAACTCGGGAGGCGGAGGTTGCAGTGAGCCAAGATCACGCCACTGCATTCCAGCCTGTGTGACAGAGCAAGACTCCATCTCGGGGAAAAAAAAAAAGTTAGAAGTAAAAGACTTTGTCTAAAGGTCACATGGCAAGTATAAGGCTCAATCACAACTTGCCCACTCTGCTCTCAGTCACCCACACATGCACAGTCTCCACTGGAGCACATGTGACCCATTCACTGGTCTCTAAATATCCTTACATGTTGTATCCCCACCAGTGCACAAGCTCTTCTCTCCAACCTGAATACACTTCCCATTCCTAACCATGGAACATCTGTTCTTCCTTAACAGAACATGAATCCCACATTCTCTGAAAAGTCTTGCTCAGCTTCCCAGTCCACAGTTATATTATCTCCAAAAGCCTCTTAAAACAGCACCAGTGCCACTCATTCAACAATTAGATGCTTTCTATTATTTATTTTTTAGAAAACATCACTTGGCTGGGCGCGGTGGCTCAAGCCTGTAATCCCAGCACTTTGGGAGGCCGAGACGGGCGGATCACGAGGTCAGGAGATCGAGACCATCCTGGTTAACACGGTGAAACCCCGTCTCTACTAAAAAATACAAAAAACTAGCCGGGCGAGGTGGCGGATGCCTGTAGTCCCAGCTACTCGGGAGGCTGAGGCAGGAGAATGGCGTGAACCCGGGAGGCGGAGCTTGCAGTGAGCTGAGATCTGGCCACTGCACTCCAGCCTGGGTGACAGAGCGAGACTCCGTAAAAAAAAAAAAAAGAAAGAAAACATCACTTGACCAAAAACAAAAAGAAAAATATCACCCAACATTTCTCTGCATTTTATGGATTTAAAACAACATTCACATAAATTAGTACATTCAGTAATTCAAACACAATTTTTCACATTGCAAATGGTACAAAGACAGAAAACGGGCTTAAATTTGGGATAAGTAATAAGGCACATGCAGAGATAAGTATAAGAATATAAGAAATTAAGAGCCAAGGAAAGATCCCTATCACTGATCATGGGAGGGAAACTTTCACATCAAGGTTCTTCTCTCAAAATGAACTGTACTTTTTTTACAGAACAAGTGACAGTATTATAACCATTTCAGTATTACCTACTAAAAGCATACTAAAAGTAGTGTAAGTGTAAAAATGTTAAATACATTTTTATTGGAAAAATTGATCAGATATCTATGCCAAAACTGAGAAACTAAAATAACACCTTCTAACCACAGCATTTGGGTCCCAGTCTTTAGGAGACTGGAAAAAGTAGGATGGAAACACTGAATTCTTCAGAAAAATAATAGCCTGGATATCTCATATCCAAAGAAGAGTGATCTCTGGCTAATGGTCAACAATGAGAAAACAGCAGTCAATTCAATAAGCTACTAATGATGCTGTAAGAAACATATTCCCCACCTGCTCCTGCCAGAGCTGCAACCTCACTCAAGCAAGTCTCCTTGGAGGGGGGTGAGATGAAACTATATACACAATATAAACAGAGAGCACTCTAATTGTTTCATGACACAACTAATTGTATTAGAATAAATACACTGCTGGGTGTGGTAGCTCATGCCTGTAATCCTAGCACTTTGGGAGGCAAAGTGGGGCGGCATCACTTGAGGTCAGTAGTTGGAGACCACCTAGCCAACATGGTGAAACCCCATCTCTACTAAAAATGCAAAAATTACCCAGGCGTGGTGGTGCATGACTGTAATCCCAGCTACTCAGGAGGCTGAGGCATGAGAATTGCTTGACCCAGGAGACAGAGGTTGCAGTGACTCAAGATCACACCACTGCACTCTACCCTGGGTGACACAGCAAGACTCCATCTCAAAAAAATAATAACAATAAATGAAAAAATAGAATAAATACTACTAAAAAACAGCACCCAGGTGAGGTAGCATGCACCTGTAGTCACGGCTACTCAAGAGGGTGAGGTGGGAGGATCACTTAAGCCCAGGGGCACAAGGCTGTAGTACATTATGGTTGCACCTGTGAACAGCCAGCCAACACACTTCAGCCTGGGTGACAGAGTAAGACAGGAGGATACCTTGAGGCCAGGAGTTCAAGACTAGCCTGGGCAACATAGCAAGACTCTGTCTGTACACAAAATGTAAAAATTAGCCAGGCACAGTGGTTCACGCCTGTAATCCCAGCATTTTGGGAGGCTGAGGTAGGCAGATCGCTTGAGGTCAGGAGTTTGAGACCAGCCTGGCCAACATAGCAAAACCCCATCTCTACTAAAAATACAAAAATTAGCTGGGCATGGTGGCGCATGCCTGTAATACCAGCTACTTGGGAGGCTGAGGCAGGAGAATCGCTTGAACCTGGCAGGCAGAGGTTGCAGTGAGCTGAGATCACGCCACTGCACTCTAGCCTGGATGACAGAGTGAAACTCCATCTCAAAAAAAATATGTATTAAAAATTAAAAATTACCCAGGCATGGTGAGGCATGCCTGCAGTCCCAGCTACTCAGGAAGCTGAGGCACGAGGATCACTTCAGCCCTGGTGGTTGAGGCTGCAGTGAGCTGTGATCGCGCCACTGCACTCCATCCAGCCTGGGCAACAGAGTGAGACCTTGTCTTAAAAAAACAAAAACAAAAACAAAAAAATAGTAATTGTTAAAAATATAACTGGGGCCAGGCACAGTGGCTCACGCCTGTAATTCCAGCACTTTGGGAGGTGAAGGCAGGTGGATCACCTGAGGTCGGGAGTTCGAGACCAGCCTGACCAACATGAGGCGACCTGTCTCAACTTAAAAACAAAATTTAGCCGGCGCAGGTGCGC